TACATTACATTGTGTTATTTTCAAATTATTTGATAACGGGGGATAAATCAGGTAAGTTTAGGCCGTATTTGGAAGTGACACTTTGATATGCATATACAAATTTGTGGATTAATCATGAGGGGAAATTGACTGCATCTAGAAGTGCCAAAAAAGCAATATTTGTGTGGCAAAGCACTTCTTTAAAAATTCGTGATCACTGTTATATGTCTTCATTTTGTTCCACTTTCAAACGAAACAGTATACATCCACAACTTGTATGGCTATACAAATCATATTGCAAGCTCCTCGCAGCCCCCTACAGTTCTTAGCACTTCAGAAAAAGGAATCAGTCATAGGTGATTCTCTGAAAGGTCATTAAGGAAATAATGTACATCGTTGTGGCTCTACAGCGCCCAAATCGGTGCAGCATCCTTGTCTGCACATAAGTATGCGCAACTGCATGAATCTATAGTGAAACTTAACACCAAAGAAGATAAATTTTTCTTCTCTATCATACCAAAAAAATTCATCCAACATAAAATAATCATATAAAAAGAATACAAATAAAACAACTAAAACATAGTAAGAAAGTTTAATTTTATTCACAAACCAAGACATGCTATCTTTCACATCCAAATTCCACAACTTCATGTCAAATAAATGAGTGCGCAGACCCTTCTATCTTGTAAGGTGAAAATGACACAGTCGCCTTTTCTAGCAAAAAATAACATTGCTCTTGTTTGGATTTTGATGAAATTTTCTCAAACTTACTTTATAGGATATAAGGAATGATATAAGATTAAGCATTAAGACGAATATAAAAGAAAATACATTGTCCCTCAATCCTCATCATATATATATATATATATATATACATGTATGCATATTGACAAACCAGCATCAATATGAATTAATCAATGATTAAAAAGTACTCTGCGTAAACTAAATGATATTAAGTAACCGAAACATTTAAAAACAATTATATACATACCACCACAAGAAAATATGAATCGATTTAATAAGCGAACAGAAAATTCAAGAGATTACAATGAAACGCTAAGTTAGCTGTAAATTAGCTGTTACTAAAGACAATTATATATTCATATACATCTGACATGTCTGAGCAAACAAAAGTTAACAAAATTATGCATCTATAAAGCCCTCTTAACAAACAACCACCAGCTTACCAATGATATAATATATCTTTGTGAGTTTAAATCATATCCATTTACACAATTTATTATGTTTCAAACATTAGGCCCCTACACAACAAATGAATTATTTACATAAGAGTGAAGACAACGAAAACACAAGTGTGACTATATACACATACCATGGTAATTCACCCCTTAAAACAGTTGGATAACATTTTACCCATTAAATGTGACTCGGTAACATTGCTTCTGAATTCAAATTCAAATTCTGAAACAAAATTATGGAATTTAGCTCATGCTGCAATCATAATTATAAACCTTTTGGTCAGTCAGGAATCCCATGACTTCTTCAAGCCGATCGCCTGTCTGATTATCAAGATATTTATGATTGGAAATCGAAACTTCATTTTTGGTTTTCCTAACGGTTTTCCTAACAATACAGTCTACTGGGGGGAATGAGTATGATAAAACCGGGCATTCAAAGATTTTTACTTTTTGAGGCACTTCATAATCATTTTGAAGCGCATTTTGTTTACGGTTTCAATATTACACCATATCACAGACACTGATAACACGTATATAGGGCCATGTATCTTAGATTTAACATTGTTAAAAGATGCCTTTAAGGCTCGTTCAGATATGATGCAGTATTACCACGGCCGTTTTTATTAATTGCCATTTACCTCATACGGTTTACCGCGTCATGTGTATTGGGTAAAATGGGAACATGCATGATTGTTGGGTAAAATTAGTTTTAGGTATGATGTACCCAAATTGGGTACAGATTTTTCCAGTGATGTTTTATCCAACAAACAATCTAGTTTCCAATTTACTCCATTTTAACGAACAGTTTTAAAAGCGACCTATTTGTGTAAGCGAAAAATATTACTAATTATAATGATATGCATAATAATAAAATATGACCCGATAAAGTAATGATCCCTCACCATAGCAAATCTGCATCGAGAATCATGCGAATGAAATACATATGAAAGTAGACAACATAATTATAATGAAAAATACCTTATGAATATAAACAAACATTACATTTGAGTGAGCGATATGTAACACCCCTTTTTAATGTAACAAAATATGATGACATAAAATGAATGACAGAAACTTCCGAATCCAAATATTGTAGTTAAATTTTGGGAAACAAAAAAACAACGACCAGAAGATGTGAATCATCTAAAATAAGGGCTACATACTCTAAACAACTTACATGTACACAAACGATTAGTATTTCAATCGTGCATATTACTACGAGCATTTAATGTTTGTAGCAGAGGTGTCGGAGCCGGTGGAGGGATGAGGGCATGTACCCTAAAGTGCCTCTTCTTTATTCCTGATGGGCGCCCATTCCACTTATGATAATTGTCCCCTATTCAATTCTGACAGGTGCCCAGTTTACTTTAACAAGTGCCCTTTTTATTGTGTAATAAGTGCGTATACCCCTTCTGATAATTGTCCCTTTTCATTATTGTTGAGTGCCACTTTTAAACCTCTGATAACTGCCCTATATATCATTTTGTTTATTAAATGCCCCTTTTCTTGTTTAATCAAAGCCACTGCCTCTTCTCACAAATGCCCCTTCTGACACCTCTGATAGATGCCTCTATTCAGATCTCATAGGTGCCTCTTTTCCCTCCACAAGTGCCCATTATCGTTTGTAATAATTGACCCATTCCGTACTCACAAGTGCCTTTGTTCATTTCAGGTGAGTGCCCCTTGCAAGCTGTTATAAGTGCATATTCACCTCTTATGATTGTCTCTTTTTAAATCTGAAAGGTGTCCCTTATATTAGACATGTGCCTTTTTTCCTTTGTAAGCCCTCTTTTCTTTCTTATAAGTTCCCCTTTTCATCGCCGATGAGTGCCCTTATTCAAATTTGAGAGGGAACCCCTCTAACTCCGTAATAAGTGCCCCTTTTATTTCGACACGTGCCCCTTATCCTGTCTAGTGCCATTCTCCTTTTGATAATTGGCCCTTCCTTTGTAATAAGTGCCCTTTTTCCGTTCTCATAACTGCATTTCTTCATCTACGGTGAGTGCCCTTCTCACTCGCGAAAGGTGACTCATTTTCATCTCGTAAAACTCCCCTTTTTACTTGACATGTGCTCTTTTTCATTTCTTATAAATATCCTTTTCCCTTTGGATATGTGTCATAAGTGAGCTCCTAATTTGAAGTGACTAAGAGCAACATTTTCTTTAATGATTAAATTGTGCTAAAAATCCTATCGGGATTGTTTTTTTCCTCTTTATATACAATAATTGTTCGCACTGCGACCTTTAACAAATCTTAAGATATTTGCTCACTCGCAATATGCAGACCATCACACCAAACTGCAAAGTATGATTCTTAAAGTAGCTGAGCGAAGGTTTCAAAAGGCTTTTAACCTTCATAATGTTGGTATCATTGCAAAGTTAATGTTACAATCTTTCTAATGGTTCATGGTTTTAGTTTTCAAAAATTGTTACAGAATTGACTTATCTGCTATTAAAAGTGGTGAAATTACTACCCGATTATTCCGCCCTTGATCGGCCCGCTATTGTGACGTACGATTTGTGACGTATGAGGTTGGGCACATGATGAGCGCGAGAGAGCTCCCAAGAGCTCTCACACAACTCTCGCCTGCATGCATTATACGTATACAAACGCCACTCGAATGCTAAATATCTGATCAAAATGCCCGAGCTCGAAGAAGAGGTTTTACTTAGAACTCGAAGTTGATGAGCACAGCTCCACAACTAGTGACAGTGATACTGGTAGTGATAGTGATAGTGACGATGATGATGATGGGGATGTAGGATAGATGGAAAAAAGAAAACAATTTGGAGAAGACGGCGTCGGTGCAGGTCAAGTGATAGCATATCAGCGCGAGCTGGCTGAGTGGCCAGCTGCCGCTCAGCTTTCCCGGTCCCGCTGAACTGGCGATCGATCTGTCATGCGCACCCTGTCACTGGGGTAACTGGGCCGGGCGAGACTTTTCGGGATGTGCAGGGCTTTTCAAGTTTTGGGCAAATTTCACGGATAACAAATCAAAGACGATTAGATGTGAGATTATATTTGGCGAAAATCAATTGCAAATATGCACCATTCATAAATAGAAGTGCAGCTGCAGGACGCTCGCGATTCACTCATCATGCGGTCTCGTATAATCAACAGCAATCACTATCACGCCAAAGCATGATGACCGAACAAATACAAAACAATTCAGCAAATTACACAGAATGGAAGGGTATTTGGACAAATCGAATTCACCCCTCGTATTATATTACATAAATTCGTTTAATATTATATGTAATTACATGATTTCTAGAGTTTGTTATTCCACTTTCTGGTCAGGATATGAAGCATGCAAAGTCTCGATAATGTATACTATAGACCTATGAAAAATACCACACGCGAGCTGTGCGAGAGGCGAGCTTGAGGCCTAGAATTGCGATCGTGCCCAACCAGTGACGTCATAATCGGCCTACTGCGCGAAAAAAATGTTCAAGCCAGGAATAGAAGTTCTGAGAAGGTTCTTGGAAAAAGCTTCTTACCGCGTTTCATTTATATTTACAAGACTTTAGAGCAGACTACGCTATCCGGACATGTATAATTTGCCCATTTTTAGTGATTAAGTAAACTTTCTTCGCCAAGCTACTTTAAGCAGTTTGTTGGAACATGTAAAGAGAAAAGAGAAGAAAAAAAACATTGAAATTATCCCTCATAAAGAAATCACAATCTAGGGGTATATACTAATGTCTAAATATTGTATATTTTCGCGGTGAGACTTTTCTTTTTATATAGGTGCCCAATTTGTCTAGAAAGTACCCTTTTTATCGGTCCCCCCCCCCCTCCCTACTTTGAAAGATTCTCCGACGCCCCTCCTGTTTGCAATACACGTTAAATTGTGTTTGTGTTTAATGTTATCTATGAACGCCATTTGAAGTGTTTAATTGATTATAGTATTCCATAATTTGCATTTGTAGCTTCGGATATAATATCAGGGAATTTCAATATTAAAAGTTTTGTTGAGTCAGTGTTTAACAAAATAGACAATATCAACACAAATGTGAATGTGAGTAATTCAGGGTAATGCATTAATTTTCTTTATAGACATGCTAGTCGATATCAGATTTGCTCAACACAGACTCATTACCTGACATTGGATTATCTGTTCCGGTCATCGTCGTCTGTTTCATACTCATAGGACCTGACTTTGCCACCGAATATGAATCGTGGAAACAACAACCCAGGTGTTCCAGCAAGCGCGCACGGCTTTGCGGTTGTCGGAGAACGTAGAAAACAAAGATGAAGAATCCTTGGAGAGAGTTGAGTAGGATGAAGATGACGTGGACTGCGAGGTTGAGTTGTTCGATCACGGTGAAGTATCCAACGAGCCAGGTCAAACCAAGTAGGAGGAGGACGCTTATCCCATTTGTGAGACGGCGCATGATCTCGTGGCGGGCTTCTGATTTTAACTCGCTAGCTTTCCCGCCACCTGATTTGATGCGCATGAGACGACGCATAACAAGAGCGAAGATGATCAGGTTAAGAGCGAGAATGAAGGCCATAGGGATGAGCAAACCGCCGACGAGTGGCCATTTCTGAAGAAAACAGCTGTACAATTGAAAAGGTAAAAAATTATCCTAATATACAGATGGATAAATGCTTAATCTAAATTCTGGTAATATGCATGCATGAAAAATGATGCAGAAATCAAACAATATCATTGAATAAAGACATACGAAAGATATTCAACTTGCACTCATGATAATTAACCGCAGTGATGCAAAGTAACACAAATCAGAAATTATTCTTCCCATTTACTCTGATGAGTGCAAGACAAAAAGCCTTTATAGTCCCTCCTATACTTTGATCTTGTATTAACAATCGCATCTTCGTGTTCAGAAAATTTGTCTAACGGATCATTTCTAACGGATGGTTGTTTATAATAACAAATTGTGATCAAAATAGCAACAACTTTCTTAAAAATACAAATGACATGCATACTCATACCGCGTAATTTTTATTGACAGTCTTGTGTTTGACGATTAGCTCGATTTCCTTGGAGTTTTTTTTTGTTTCCGTACATTCATACTCATTTCAATAGTTGTAGTTTCCAGTAAACTTTTGTTTTTATCTGAAAGTTGTTTTTTTTCTGTTACCGCAGGAGCTGAGAGTGAGCTAAATTGGATTCAACTCAATAAATTACTCCATATCAGGAAATGAAACACGATGGTCTTAACAAGAAATTAGACAACGACACATTCACCAATACTCCTGAGACTTTAACATGTTCAACAAAGAATGATAATTTGATCATACTTTATTATAAATGTTTGTTGGAAAGCATGAGCATAATGTAGAGGTTACTTACTAGTCGGAGTTTGAATAATTATGTCTCGAGATAGCACCAGTAAGGAGCACTATCGCAGCAGGTAATCCTGTCATACAAATACATTGATATCACATATTTAATTAAAAATCTCTATCAAAAAAAAAAAGATGAGGAAAGAAAAAAAAAATGAAGAATAAAAACAAACGCGAAATCATGTTCCAGTAAGCAAAGAAATGCAAATAGACCAGAGATGTATAGGCCTACTATGATCAAAGTTTAGCAAGTTGTGATTTATTGATTGATTTCCAATTAATATGAACATGATAAGCGTGTACAAAGTACATAGAAATTCAATAATTGAAACACTGAAACGGAGGAGCATGCTAAAGAAGCGATGTTTGTATGGTGCAAGGCCCTATTAAAACATAGTTGCATGACAATAGGCCTTAAGAGTTCTTGTCAAATAAGTTATAACAGCAATTTACCCCATGCAATGACGGAGGCTTTCATCATGAAGAGTGGGATATACGAATCCATGACACGGACAACCATTAGGAACATGTTTATCCCTTCAACGCCCATCCAGGACATCGATGAGAGCGTGGTGAAGTGGAGGACAGCGGCGATGACTCCACACAGACCTGGACCGACCTCGGGTTCTCCAGGATATCGGTCGAGTGCTGTCATGATGATGAAGAAGACGTACAGGAAGAGGAGCGTGATGCAGAGGCACATTAAGATCCGGATGTGCTGCAAGTGACGAAGTTTCCTGGGGCAAAGAGAAACAGATACTTAGTATGAACAAATTTAAATGTTTTCATAGTGGAGAAATATGCTGACCTAATAAGGACATTGCAATTTCTAGTATCCTTTGACAACTGAAGCATCTGACTTGTAGCCACTACTCCTATAAAAAGCGTCTGTACTCTTTAAAAGGCTAGTTTAGATATCTATATAGCTTTTAACTTTACCAACGTTCGATTAAATATTTAGAGGGAATACCTAACAAAAAATAAACAAGACTAAGCTAGGGCTAAGAATCAATAACAACTTAGCATAAAACATTTTGTGTATTCGACCCCCCCCCCCAAAAAAAGAAGGTATAATTAAAGTGGGTGTTGGCAGAGTAAGATTACTTCCATGATATACCAACATGAGGTAAAATACTAGACTGACTAAACTAGGGAGACCATTGGAGTTTCCTTAAGTGTTGAGAACGTTTGTTGATAGAAGAAGGGTAGGAACATGGAAGTTTAGAGGCAATCCGACCTTTGTGATAGTTATCGGTACGAAAGCAGACAAATTAGAGAAACAGAATACCGAATTTTTGAATAAATAATTCTTATAAAATGAGAGCTATGACTGTTTGACAATTCAATCAGTGGATTGTGGCGTAGCCAGGAACGTTTGTTGCACACAAAGATATCATTATTTTCTGTAATTTCTTTTGGGGCACTACTCAAGAATTATCATGGATAGCATATAATAAACAGTTCTTTATTAAAAATAAAAGACCCTCTTGCTTCACACATTTTGAAAAGAAAATGAAATATTAGTCATTTCGTGTGTAGCAGAAATTGCCGAGAATGTATTACGGACTCCATTAAAGGGACATTACCGATTCAGTCAATTTAAAATGCATATGTAGTGGTTCCAACGTTTTAAAAAAATCTTAGTTTGGGGGTCGGATTTCGTTGACAGTTTTCACCTGCCTGCCTTTCTGATTTTGTTGTGCCTTCTTTTAGAATAAAAGTTCAGGTTAGATTTTCCTCAAAGTCTTACTTATCTGTGCCGTAGACAGACAGGGTCACCAAGAGGCCTACAATAGAGAGAGAACATCCTATGTAGCTGAGAATCCTAAACACTTGTTCAACTCTCTCGGATCTTCTGGGGATACCACTTACGTCCTGATGAGAAACAGAAGGCAACAAAATGTGGAAAAAGAATAAGCCAATTTGGAGAAAGATGTATACAGTGCGTCCCAGAAAAAACGAAACCAAGAATTATTGATGTTTTATCATAACTTATCCACATTTATAATTAATAAATGACACATATTTGGAAAGCTTAGATCCTCCTCGTTCGTTTGATTAAACTCATATTATACATATTTCATGCATGAGTGATTAAAATTCATTTGAAAAGAGGAAACCAAAAAGTCATTTGGCGTACGGTATCTGAATTTCAAAGAGAAAAATCACATTTCTAGAAAGTTCAGTTTCTGCCCTTTCATATGACACCTCAATCAGGAAAAAATGAGCAAGGAATGTCAAAGTTGTTTAAAGTAGTGTTTGCCTTTTCATAGTTTTATCAAACGAATTTGTTTTCACTGGCTGCCTGCCGTAGCAAAAAGCAGAATTGACAAAAGACTTAACTCCGTTTCTTTGACAATCAGCCATGCATGAAGACTTTCGTCTACGGCTGATTGTCAACGAAACGGATTCGTTTAATAAAATTATGGACATGCAAGCACTACTTTAAACAAATGGAACTTTGTTACTCCTATCCAATTTTTCCTGATTGCGGTTTTCGATTTTCTCTTTGAAATTCAGATACCGTCCGCCAAATGACTCTTTGGTTTCCTTCCTTCAAATTGCTTTTAATCGCTCATGCGTGCAATTTGCATCATATGAGTTTCATCAAATGAAAGAAGAGGATCTAAGCTTTACAAATTTGTGTCATTTATCAATTATAATTATGATTAAGTTATGATAAAACATCGATAGTTCTCGGTTTCATTTTTTCTGGGACGCACTTTATAGTTGTTTTTAAATGTCTTAAAGATTTATCTGCAGACTTTGACAAAAAGTATCAACAGTACTGTTAAGAATATGCAAACTACTGGATTGGAATATGCCAATTCCAAAGGATGACGTGTTGTTAGATGGTGAGGCTGATAAGAACCACGAATCAAATGTAACGAATCGTCCGATTTCGTCTTGATTTTTTTAATCTATCAATTTGATTCTTAGTTGATGTAGGGGATTATGTAAACAGTACATGATATTAACACCCGACAATGTGCAAATCGCGATGATATCATAAGTAAATGTCATACAGAATAATATAAGAATGCAAATTATGCTATGGCTGTTCAACTCTCTGGAATAATTTACCTTTAATATTATTATTACTATCATTACTATCATAATCATGATCTTTGTTTCATCATTATTATTACCATTATTATTATCATTATCATTATCATTAGTATTATTGTTATTATCATTATTATCATCCTTATTATCATTATTATTATCATCAATTCTATCATCATTATTATTTCACGTTCTTACCATAAGGACAGCAAAACTGGTTAGATGATTACACTGGCATTCGGTTTGTGTCTCGGAAGTGATTGTCATTTTACAGCCATGGCTTGACCAAGTATTAGTGGAATATTCCCAATACACACACTGCGGATTCGTTGCATTTCGCTGGAAGTATATAAAATAGTTTTGGGGGAAAACACGTGTAATTTCCATTTGACTATACAAATAAAAAACAGGTTTTAAGTAAGTTCACTTTTCATTTCTGTACTTAGTGATTTGAAGCACATTATTTCAGCCCATTGAGCAGTTGTACAGCTTATGGAGAGATGTTGTATCTTACCTGTTTGTGTGCCAGTATTATGGTGACCGGATCATTCAGAGGTTTGGTTTCACTCGTACCGAGGCTCGCTCCGATGATATTAGTATTGACCGTGATATTACGAAGCCCATCATGGCTTTCCACTAGACTGTCTTGGCCACCATCCATTACAAACAATGCATCGTCTCGGTACACAGTAAATGCTATATTCCCCATGGTGCCTTCATCAATGGTCTCTGATCCAATGACGATGGCTGCTTGGACAGCACCACCTAGGTTACTCTTGCCGAGATTGTTGGTGGATACCTGGATGTCACTTTCATCAAAGGATTGGCTGTCATTGCCGATGATGGTGAAGGCAATCCCATCGCCGGCACCATCAGACTCAGAGTTGATTACCTAAAGAAATGCATTTTAAGATTAAAGGCTTCTTCAGAAATGGCGAGGTAAGCCGCCAGACTGGGAGTCGAACCCTCAACCCTTGGACTAAGAGTGGATAAACCACTACACCACGACACCTCTAAATGATAGGAGAGCTGTCAGAGCATACCCATATAGGTGATGTAGTGGTTTAAGAACTCGACTGGAAATGCTAAGGTTGTGGGTAAGATCTCCGACACATGCAGCACTAATGTCATTTGACAATACATTAATACACATTTGCCACTCTATATCCCAAGAGGGAAATATGAAGAGAGCTTTTGTGATACATGTTGTCATATTCCATCATGGTTATTGAATGGTAGGCATACTCCCCAGGTAGTGGAAATTGTGCACATTGTGCGTTCATGAACCCAATTACTTGGGTAATATGATATCTGTAAAAGCATAGAGATGGTATTTCATATTAAGCACCATATAGAGCACCGAAGTGCTAACGTCATATTCGCTCGTCGTCGAGGTTACTGGTTCTAAACAACAGAGCCTGCACATGAGGTTCACTGCAAAGTCATTTAAGTAACGGCCTGGAGCAGGGCAAATTCAGCGTTTTGACCTGGTGTGATCACCACACCCCTGTTTAGCTAAAAATTGTTTGGAACCAGCAACCTTGACAAGTGAGCCAGTATATGAAGTCACACTTCGGTAGTGTATTAAAATCCAGATTTATGATTTATTTTTCATTTATCATCATACCTGTACTACTAGGTTTGCTGCCACTTGTTGGAAGGACTCATTGGAAGGCACATTGACGGCTAGAAGGATGTTTTCTAAGGCCTCGGTAGCTCTGCTGACAGCACCATTCATCATCTGAGCATCCATGGTGAGATCTTGGTCTAACGCGGCAAGGTTGCTTACGATGTCAACGACTGAGGCAACATTCTGGCATAACACAAGAACAAACGATTACAGAGATGATGATGATGATGATGATGGTGGTGGTGGTGGTGTTGGTAATGGGCCCTAATTGTAATAATAATATTACTTCAAATAGTTGTTATATTAATTGTAATAATATTACTAATGATGATGATTATATGATGACGATAATGCATTGTGTGCAGGCAAGCTTTAATCCGACGATAGGGGTAATAACATATCTGTTAAACGCTGAAGCGATAAAAATGATTAAATTCAGAAATGTTGTTCAACTTGGTGATCTTTAATCAAATCAATTGATACTTATGGTTCAATATTTTTTTTAATCGATCAAAAAACCTCTTGCGTTGGTTGAGAAATTGACCCTGTCTGGTGAATGATGTCAAATGCAGCACCGACCCCAGCAGAAGTAATATTCGTGTCCTGGGAGATCACAGTCAACACTGACAGAACGTCCTGGATGTCGCTTTCACCAGTCGTCAGATTCTATCGACAAAACACACAGTTGGAATTGACCGGTTATCGGCTTTTATTCTCGTGTAATTATTCAAGATACTTTCTTCAAACAAGTGTAGTTTTATATCACTTAAAATAATCAGCCTATTTTTGTGAAAGAAATTTTAATATGAACTAGCACTATAACACATCATAGATGATTTTGTGGATAAAATATAATTTTCAAGTGTTTAAGGGTTAAGGACATTCCGCATTAAGATGCATGTGCTTCTTAGCTGCACAAGGCCAGCAGTTCATGTATTTGCTGCGAACAATACCAGGAACTCCATAACATACTATAATAAGATCAAGTTTACCTCTCGTAAGTAGATTAAGAGTTGATCAGCTGTTTTATTGCCACCGCAGTTATCTGAAGGTACCCATGCACAAGGAGAGATATAATCACCGTAGCAGACGGCTCGTGCTATTGGCTCTCCATCTTGAAATATGCAAAACCAAAGTTCAGATTAAATATATTATCGGTCTCATATTAATGCTGTATATTAATTGTTGATGTCGGGGTATGGTAGTTCTTTATTTTGACTCTCATTATCAGGGTTTAAGGTTCGAATCCCAGCCCGACATTAATGTCCTTTGGCAAGATATTAATCCACATTTGCTACCCTCCACTCAGGTGAAAACGGGTGCCTGAAAATTCCTGGGATAATAATGAATGGAGGGCCCCCAGGAAGAACGTCATGATGCTGATAAGGCTTCCCGGGGTAAAACCTATTGTTATTATTATTAGTATCATCAATATTTTTCTTCTTCTTCTTCATCTTCCTGTCACTATTATATTACTATTGCTATCATTATTATTATTACTACATCGTGTACTACTACTGTTGTTATTATGATGTTCATGTTTTATAACAGAGATTTTCAGTCGGTACTAATCTTAACTTTCATGGGTTTGCTTTCTCATGTAAGCTTAACTATCTAAAGTCTAAAGAAAAAGAATATCTTATAATCAGAATATCAAAATATTTCTTTCATTGTACCATTGACGGTGAACCATGGACATTCTCTAGTCGATTTACTCCACGAATGAAGGTCTCCTGACGAAAACTGGACAATACCATACGGAGATGGCCAAGAGGTATTTGGACATAGAGCTAAGAGAGAGAGAGAGAGAATTTGAATTTCATAATATTCAATTGCAGTACTTGAACATTTTAAGAAGTGATGCAATAGGATATTCAAATTGCTCTTAGTTTCCTTTTTGAGAGTCTGTGCAATATTGTTAAGTCCGCTGCGCACCTGACGATTCTACTGCCATCAATTTTTTGAAGAAAACGCAATTACTTTAGATATGGAAAGTTAAACAAAGATCATTTCATGACCTGCGTTTTCAATAATGAATAATAATCACTAAAATTGTAGTGCTTTGGTACCTAATTTAAGTCGGTTGGAAAGCATGTGCCGCTTCAGATCGCTAATTAATCTTGGTCTGACAGCGCTACAAATCTGGCTTTCCCCAAATTCTTATTTTTCTTTAATTCATATGATTATTCAGAACCGCAATCACGAAGACTTTTCATGTTCCAATATTCATATCGAATGCAAAATCGGATCGTTCATAGATCATATAGTATTCACTTGGCTTCAACCCATAGCAGCACACTGTCACAAATTGGCAATTCTTCGGTAAAATTTTGCAATAGTCTTTTATATTGATTCATCTAATAATTGTGTTCTTCTTCAAAATATGAAGGCGGGGAAGCAAGATCATTTTTTGCCAATTTGGTAAAATTTGGTAAAAGTAGAAAATTAAGAAATAGGAAAAGTTCTGACCACCTACGGGTTAAAAATTATTTCAATTGAGCAATTTTCACCTGTACTTAGTACCAGAAGGATGGAAGGGTCAAAGAAACCTTCAGAAATTTCCGCCACAGAGAATAATCCGCTCCGCAGCAGGTCCATTTCTTCTTGTGTACTCATGCTACTGTTGGCTATGTAGGCTCTCATATCAACCAACACACCGTCATCTGGTAGAAGTTGATTCACGTGAATGTAAATAGTGCCATTGGTGTCTCTTTCGGTATCAAGCGCCTCAAACACCGTTTCGAACTAGATATCAAATGATTCCATCGTAGATATTTAATACAGTCGAGTATTTTTACATAGGATAGGACATTTCCTAGCAACTGTCTTTTCTCGAATTTGGTTGTATCTTTAACATAGACACTGACAAAAGTAGCAAAATGTTTATGAAATATACATGATATCATTATACAATGGTAATTATTATTTATGTGAGCAAAGCTAATTTCCATGTCAAACTCATATTGGGCAATGGAATGAACGAAAGAATGAATGTGTGCATGAAAAAAACAGGTAAACATGTATTTTTTTCTGGCTCGTTTTGTTTCTGTCTCGGCTACCCGTACACATGAGTAAGCTTCACATTTTAAGAAGCTGGACAACATTACTTCAAAACTTAATCAAGAATGTACCCTCAGGCCAACCGGGAACAGTAAAGAAGAATGTATAGCATTCTAATTCAGAGATATTTCAAATGATTTAACATTTTTCATCCCCTTACCTTATCGGTAATAGCACGCACAAGAGTCTTGTAATCTGAAGATTCTTGATCAGCGTGAAATGTCGTGAAATTTCTCACAAGCTTGAACTTCAGATGAAAAATAGACATATCTGTATTTTTAAAAGTTTAAAAAAATATTCACTGGTACTGCTTAATATATATGATATTTCAAAAAAGTTGTCACACAAAATCCACTTGAAACATATTTTGTGAAATGACTTTCATTCTTATTAGACTACCTTCAATATATTTCCCAAGGTAGTGTTAAAACGTGCAGATGGAATATTGCCGCGATCCAATGTTGCATAGTTTCAACGGATATGTTTTGCTTAATATACATAAATGGGGTTGTATAGACGTACCATGGTCTAGTGGATACCTCACTGGACTGTGGATCACATGGGTGGTGGTTCGAGTCTCGACACAGTACTAATGTACTTTGGCAAGACAACAATCTACATTTGCCACTCGTCACCCTGGTGTTTTAATTTGGTACCTGATGGGAGTTTATTCCTCAAATGATTTAAGCGCCTTAGGGCAGCTAGGCTAAAGCCAGGGTAACAATACTACTCTGTAGGCACTTGAGCACCCCCTGGATGGATGGATACGTGCGCAATAAAAATGTAACTGTTAATTATTATCACTATCATTACTATCATAAACATTTTAGCGCAAGCACTCCCTGAGCTACAATTACATATTCGCAATGATATTTACTGAAAAATAGTCCCGGACAGTTATCTTTTATTATTTGGGTAATAGCATTTGGGGTAAGTTTTATAAGTCTGTAAGATGAGATAACGAAGTATATTTGGGTCGTTGTCTAAAAGTAAAATTTCAGATGTAACTATTTGTTGTGTCAAACAATACCCCCCCCCCCCCCAAACAAAATTTACCTCTGATTCTAAGCAGTGCTTGGTTGCTTTCAATATGAGGTCCATTCTCTGGGATACCGACACAGCTATAGTACGCCTGATCAGGGGGGTTCATCTCGCCGATGATATAGTTAGATATATCACGGGTGTCAGGCACCTTTTTCCCGTCTCTCCACCAGTCAAAGTGCTGAACATCTTGGAATTCACAGTTCAATATTACCATCTCTGATATACCTACAGTTTTATTTCTTGGGTGAATGGTAACGGATGGCACACCTAGTAAGGATGAAGAGAGAGATTTCACTGCCATTCATCGTGACATTTGTCTGAATACAAATCTAAAATTTGACGATGACTTTATTGATTTGTTCTAACAAACATAAATTATAAGGACTGTGTTGTTATAACTGCTTCAATTTTTTTTATATTTGCTATTTAGCTGTTACTACATTCACATGTTTTCAAATTAATTCCCTGAATTTTAAAGCATGATCTCAACAAATATTGTGGTCAGTATGTTGCTTGCAATCAGTTGAGACATCCACGATACTTTCATATTTTTGGGGACTTTTGTGTTTTAGAAATGAATAAGACAGAATTTCCCAGAGGTCATGAACTTGGGGTAGATACAATGTACGCTCAATCACAAATCTAATTCTTATAACAGAACTATGAAAACAATTAAAGACTACATAATTGCTTTAAGATTATATATCTATTTCAAAAGATATCATGTAGAATATCAAATCAAACCTCACAATAGCTTTTATAAAAACATATTGAGATAATACGATACGAAAAGAATGGTCATTCATCTATTAGATATTTTCGTCAAAGCTGATTATTATCTTTTTGTATGAACTTTATTATTATAAATTATGAAACTTTTCTAAAAATCGATTAACTATTCATCTAGGTATCTTGCTATCATGATCTATTTTTTTAAATCGTTGGATATTGTAACATTAACAATAGACAATTTTTGCAATTCCTCACCTCTTTAAAAATTAATTTAACTCGTTTTAGAGTGCTATAACCAGAGACAAATTCGATCCATGGCTGAGACATGACACATAAGAGTCATAACGTGCGGTTTTACTTAAACATCTGTTCTGATATTGTACACGCGAATGAAACCACAATCGCCACAATGTATCCTGCAGATATTGCAATACCAGGCAAGAGATGATTGAAATATGATATTATTTGTATTTGGCAAACCAACATTATTTAGTTTAAAACACATAAACCTCATACCATCTTGTGTTTGGTCAATGTTGCATGTTGTTCCCGCGTAGAGTGATGTACACGCACACCGTCGTTCAGCTGGTATGCAGGTACCTCCATTGAGACAAGGTTTCGACGCACAGTAGCCTATTGAGAAAAAATACACTGGTTCAGTGGTAGAGCAGTGATCTCTTAACTAGAAGGGCCTGATTTCAAAAACTAAGTAAATTTGTAATTGCCCTTTGATAGAAAAACAAGCCTCAATGCCCAAGTCCCTTGGATAGTACTTAAGACCTTAGGTCCAAAGCTTGCTATAAGTTACTTCTGAGAGAGCACTTGTACAAATGACCCCCAAATGTTCCCAGATCATTTACACATGTGCATTTCAGAATAATCACTGCCAAAGTGATGGAGGTATTTTCTTTTAATATATGATTACTTGTATGCCTTTCTGAATACCTCCTTTGTTATCTAAAACAATCCTATCAGTGTTTATCATTTGATATAGACAGAAACAAAGCAATGCAATTAATGTTAAAAACATGGCTTACGCCACGTTCAGGGCCTGCAAAACCTACCACTCTGACAAGAGATGCCGAACCATCCCTCAGTGCAATTACAGGTGAACGAGTTTAGATGATCAATGCATGTTCCGTCATTCAAACACGGTCCGGAACTACATTCATCAATATCTAATTGACAAAAGGAATTCCAACAAAATGACTCGTTAAAGGGGTATATTCATTCATTTATTTATTTTATTTATTTATTTATTTTATATCCAGTCTCCACTCCAAAGGACTTACCACATTTCACATTTCACGGCTAGATGCAATATGCCCTATACGGTAAGTAATATTATCGTACTTGTATATATCCTGACCAGTGTGTATGTATAAATATTGGTGCAGAATAAAACACTAACAGACTGTCTGACTCATCAACCAATGGTTTTATATATTTTTGTATTTATATGTATTTATAAATGGACTACCGGGCGTATTTCTACGTCAAATTACTCTATGTATTCTTTATTGTATGTTCCTAATTACAGAATTACAGAATACATACATAAATACACAAACACATGAACAAAAAAAACAAAAAATAAACAAACAATACCTATTTCACAGGTGTAGCCTTTCCACCCTGGACGGCAATCACAAAAGAAGGCGTTCAGAAGGTTGTTACACTCTGCACCGTTTAGGCATGGGTTTGAAGAACATTCATCAACATCTGTGAAGTAATTCAATCAAGTTCATATTAACTCCTCTAAAAACAAATTCTGCCATTCAAGATTGAGCGCTGATATCTCCCTTGCTGCTATATTACTAATATTGACATTGCTTTCATTTAAAAGCCAGTTTACCCCTTATAATAAATGGGGCTAAGTAAAAGAACAAAAATGCAAACTGCAGTGTTATTGTCTCCATTTAATTTGTTTGGAGGACGGATTGTGTTTTGAACGATGGTGAGGTGAGGCGGTCATTGTTGACAAAAACAATGCATCTTGTAACATTTCACTTTTGACTCGGTCCCATACTCAGGTGTACTGCATATTCCATGACTATAATGGGGCATCGATCATTGTAATGGGGAATATTCAGGCCTTTCAATGATACCAACATCAAGTATGAAAATGAGAGCAGAATCAACACTCAAAACATGAATTACTTGTTTTCAGGAGTTGTATTCAGTTGTACAGATTTCTAAGCATCAGGCATTTCACAAAACCATCATCAGTACAAGTTCGCTGATATTTCTTCAAAAAAATTAACACGAGTTTGTACTTGTAGCCGTTTTAGAAACGATGCCAGGATACCCGACGACTGGGCACCGTTTTTTCCAGAGCGTAGTGAATAAGAACATCCCCCTCTTGTTCGGTACCTATAAATGTTGTCAAATCAATGGATGTGTGGGTTACCGTGTGTCGGTTAATTGCTTTAGCCGAAAAGCGATGGAATTGGGTAAATGCAATTACTGAATTACCACATGCTGTTACGGCTACCTGCAATGCTTACGTTGATGTAGTGACATTGCGATCGACAAATTGGTTGTATTTATAGAATGATTTTTTTTTTTTAAGTATGGGCACAAAAACTTTAAGAATCGAATCATCAAGATACATCATTTTTATTCTATCTTTAATTTAGGCTGTTGAAATGAAAATGAAATCAAATGAATCTGTAGTGACCAAACTCGTTTTTACCATTTCAAAACTTGGTTTTTTATTTAAGAACACCGTACAGCATATTGGGTGCGTCTAATTTAAAACATACGTGTCAGACCCGAAGCCTCATTACTTTAATGGTCACGTGGGTCTGTGTACTTACGTTAAGGACAAAGTAGTCCCTTGATTATTTATCTATAAATCGTTTGTAGGTAATGTTAAATGGACCGTAATGAAATTATGATATTTTCTCATGTATGTTTTATTGTTCTATCCTAAACTTGATTATTATACTTAGTTCAGAAGGATGTGCATTCATGCTCGAAAAGTAGTCCTTACGAATGCGCGCTTTGTCAGGCAAGGCCCTGATGGGTATTTTATATAGCGGACATTCGTTCACTTGCTTTAAGCGAAGCTGGTTGTCTCTATTTTACTCCGACACGCCCAAGCTTTGCCGTCAATGTAGCCTGTTTGTGTTGCACCATTTAAACAGCCGCTGAGGCGTAAGTTGAGGTTGCTTTATCACCACCACGCTACAAAGCTACAATTGACGATGACGTATGATTTTTCTTACCCGTGTGACATTTAGTCTAGGGGTCTTCTCCGTCTTTATTTATAAACGAAATAAACTTCATTGCACTTCACCATGGCGTCTCAACTTCTTCATTTTTGCTGGCTATGATTTGAACCGTGGAACACGCGTCCCACAAATCCATCCATTGAGAGAGAAAGTAATTGGAAGACATATAGAGGTTCACTATGTCACATCATGTTCACTGGACCAAAGGAACACAGGGCCAATTAGCTGTAGGATTAACATGATGCTAAGATCTTACCATGACACGAAGCTCCATCAATATCAAGATAGTATCCTGCGTTACAGGAACACACAAAGCTACCCGGTGAGTTGGTGCAAGATTGGTTGCATGGAGATCCTTCTTGGCACTCATCTATATCTGTATATACGATTGTTAGATGATTAGAAAACAACAGCAACAACAACAACATAACTCACCAGAGAAACAGCAGCAGCAGAGACAAGAGCAGTAAAAAAATAGCAGCAACAGCAACATCGGGAAAATACCAGTAACAACAATAACGACAAGAACAAAAAAAGAACAAAGGGAGCGAGTAATAATGTATGAACCTATCCGAAGGGCAGCTCCAGGAATTTGGAACACTGTCCTTTGCTTTTTACTTGCTAGCCTAAGTCTGATTTTAGTGGCGTGTCCAATTAGGGAGAGGAGTGGCAATTGATTCTGCCTCTGGTTTGCAAGTCAATGAAAATATAACAATATATTTGAAACGAAATGACTTTTCATGAACATTATATTTCAAACATATGATATTCAAGATTATGATGCATTTTTCTATTTTTGTAATAATTTGTTTTCATCACATTAGACCTTTAAAGTACATGTTTATATCCTGATATGCTAAACAGTTTTATTAGGCTACATGATTATTATTGTTAAGGTGGCTATCTTCTGTGACTACTGTAACTCCATCTGGACAAAACTTACCAAGTTCACAATTCATGCCGCGCCATCCTGAATTACAGTGGCAATCATACGCGTTCTTCAGGTTATAACAACTCCAGGTTCCATTTTCATAACATGGTGAAGATGCACATTCATCTACATCTAGAGATATAATGGGAAAGCAAATGAGAGAATAATGGTTGCGTTGCTTGAAATTTTGTAGTTTGTATGTATCATAGGTTTTTTTTTAGTGTTATGGCGATCCTACCACAAGCCTCATGCTTTCAAGGGAAGTTGGCCTCCTTCCTACATAACTTTGCCAATATTTCATGATATGTTCATTTTGTTTTGTCAAGGAAATTAATGTTTATTAAATTGAACTGAAATCAAAGTGTGATTTGTATTTATTTCCATCCTAGTTGTCAACGTTGTATATGTTAGTTTCTTATATATGTACATATTGATATATATACTCGTAATCAAGTTTAAAGTTTGAATGCGAAATCTATACTCATAATATATATGACATTGGCATGATGTATACATATAAACTAGGTAATAATAATGATACTATTACTACTACTACTTACTATAACTACTACTGCTGCAACTACTACTACATCTACTACTACAACTGCTACGTCTAATACTACTACTACTACTTCTGCTTCTACTACTACTACTACTACTACTACTACAACTACTACTACTGCTGCTGCTGCTGCTACTACTACTACTACTACTGCTGCTACTTATGATAATATGTTCAAGATAATGATATTAATAATAATCATGACAAACATGTATACATTAATTCAGAGTGATGTACTCGTAGAGGTAGTAGTAGTAGCTGCAGTAACACATGTAGTAGGTAGTAATAATGATACTATTACTACTACTACTATAACTACTACTGCTGCTACTACTACTACATCTACTACTACTACTGCTACGTCTAATACTACTTCTGCTTCTACTTCTACTACTACTACTACTACTACTACTACTACTACTGCTACGTCTAATACTACTACTACTTCTGCTTCTACTTCTACTACTACTACTACTACTACTACTACTACTACTACTACTACTACTGCTGCTGCTGCTGCTGCTGCTGCTACTACTACTACTACTACTACTACTACTACTACTACTACTTTTACTACTACTGCTGCTGATACTTATGATAATATGTTCCAGATAATGATATCAATAATAATCATGACAAAGATAAAAAGAATATTGATAATAGTAATATCCTAGATTAATATAGCATTTGATATATATACGATGTCTGAAGGAGCTCTACAAAATAGAAATTGTATATAGGCCTACGTATTTTGATTACTAATGAATCCAGAAAGGTCCAAAACTAACTTTCCATGATAATTTGCATTAGGCTTACCTATACATGTAAATCCATCAACATGCAAAGAATAGCCCGGGCGACAAGAACATAAATAAGCACCGACGGTGTTGTTACAGATGTGAGTACAGTCATGAGTAAGCAGGCATTCGTTGATATCTAGTAGTCAAACATGGGGGAAAAACATACCATGTAGGCGAGAAGTTACAAAACGTTTCACCAAAATCAGAAAGTCACTTTTTGAGAACAATGACTGTCCCCTGATAACGACATTATTCCTGCGTTGACGTTTGAAAATCGCCCGCTGCTATAGGACTTTGCAGCTACATCAATTTGCCATGAATTTCTTCCCTACAAGGAATTTCTGATTCATTCCCATTACAAATGCTGGAATATACTTTATGACAGGTAACCTATGAATGTTGTTCTTTAGTCGTTGATGACTATAAGTACTGGCCATTAAAAACAAAATACATTGTCTTTGGGTTTAGGAGAATGGGTTTTTGGATATACTTTCATTACGCGTATGTGAATGCATTCAGATGAAATGTCGACCATATCAGATCATTGGCAACATGTTACTAGTCATATTAAAGCTCAGATCAGATGACCCGTTTGATGTCATTTTTTCACAACACTATACAATAGTTGTTAATATTTGGACAGCAAATTACCAAATAGGTCTAGCTTGGCCTTGTTCTGTACATTACTTACCGTTACACGTTGTGCCATCATGATGAAGCTCATATCCTGCCATACAGGAACAGTCGTATGAACCGGCAGTATTGGTACAATTCTGACTACATGCATTCATGTCTGCTGAACTACATTCGTCAATATCTGCAAAATCAAAAGAGACACATAATGGTGCAAATACCACAGGGTTTCAGTTCCATGTTCGAAATCCTACATCTTTGAATAGATTGGTGCCAGACATAATCAGTCTTTCACAATTGAAATCTTAAAGTCACTTTAATTCAGTTCAAAACATATTTGACAAGCCAAAGTAAAGGCTGCAAAACGTCAACTCAGGAGAACGACAGCTCACTACACTTCTGCAAAGTGATCTGAGGGTTTATGAGACCAATATTCGGTCTCGCCTGGCTGTCTGTGTACTTGTACTGTCAACTGGGCTGTCGGTGAACTAGGATGCCCCGTTAAGTAACACAATTTTGTGAATGTTGATAAAAACATTATTTTCTACAAGAACCTGACAATGTAAAGGAATGAATGAAGATTAGTTAATGACAAGTAAAGTAAAAAAAAAATACTGATAACTCAGACTTTAGTTGTTTTCAATAGATGTTCATACAATTCGTCTACACAGCTCGCCACCAAAGCTATCAAATTGTATATTGAAAGCCTTAAGTTTTGAATACTAATTTACCTGGAAAGTCTAGAGAACATCTAAACATCATAATGCTTTGGCAAACAAAAAATTAAAATAATAATAATAATAATAATAATAATAATAATAATAATAATAATAATAATAATAATATTAATATTAATGGGCCATAATAAACTTTACACAAGATCTCAAAATATATTTAAAAACATCATACATTATACAGCTCATCGTTTAAGGAGTAATTACCGATAGAATTATACAAAATGGAATAAAATTGGACAAAAACGAAGAAGGAACATTTTTCTATGACGTTAACCTTTTACCAGGTCGGTGGCTCGATATCTCAAAAAAGACAAAATGCAAAATGTACGACTTGTAGGTATTGTACTTATAAAGTCATTACCATTGTTACATTGGAAGCCAAGCCAACCAGGTGAGCAAGTACAGGAATAAGAGTTGAGCAGGTCAGTGCATGCTCCATGAAAACATGGATTTGACAAACATTCATCAATTTCTGTAAAAATGAAATGAGAATGAAAAATAAATTTCACACTATACATGCACATTGTATATCACAGTATGCTTCTATACTGGGATTTGTTTTTATAGGCTAGTGATTTTTTGACGGAATAGGAAGAATGATACTTCATAATTGCATATATAATTCTTTTGTGATTAATCGAATAAGCATATTTAAAGGTACTATGTCCCATTTGCAGGCCAAAAAAAATGAAAAAGTTAAATTCCAACTGCATTTGAAAGATAATACTAATTTAGAACTCCCCTGAAAAAGGTGCGGCTTGAAAATGTCTTCAAGTGGGAAAATAACGACCATTAGTTGTCAAATCGACTTTAGGGCTAAAAGAGCCCAAAAGTAACAGTCTTGATTTTCAGACAATTGTACCGAATGGTCATACGTTTTATGCTGCGCAAAGATTCAATCAGTTTAATCTTGGCCATCACAAGAAGTGGGTTATTGATGTAGACAAATGCTCATGTACCCTTTACTCTTTTCATGTATGTTATAAGCAAAGAAGAAAAAAAAGCCAGTCAGTCACTCACTAGTGTCTGACAGTGAAGTCTAGCAAGTAAACGGGTTTCCTTGCATAATTTGAATATGAGGACACTGCTAACGTTTAAATTTCACAGATAGGACATACATGACATATTCATAATTCCTGCAAAGTTCTACAGCATTTGAGGTTGGCTGCAAATGGGACATAGTACCTTTAAAGGTACTATGTCCCATTTGCAGGCCCAGAAAATGAAAAAGTTAAATTCCAACTGCATTTGAAAGATAATACTTATTTATAACGTCCCTAAAAAAGGTGGGGCTTGAAAATGTCTTCAAGTGGGAAAATAATGATTATTAGACGTCAAATCGACTTTAGGGCTATAGAGCCCAAAAGTAATAGTCTTGATTTTCAGACAATTGTACCGAATGGTCGTACGTTTTATGCAGCGCAAAGATTCAATCAGTTTAATTTTGGCCATCACAAGAAGTTGGTTATTGATGTAGACAAATGCTCATGTACCCTTTACAACTTTTTTCATGTATGTTATTACCAAAGAAGAAAAAAAGCTAGTCAGTCACTCAATAGTGTCTGATAGTGAAGTCTAGCAAGTAAACGGGTTTCCTTGCATAATTTGAATATGAGGACACTGCTAACGTTTAAATTTCACAGATAGGACATACATGACATATTCATAATTCCTGCAAAGTTCTACAGAATTTGAGGTTGGCTGCAAAAGGGACACAGTACCTTTAAGACCTAACTTTAAAAATTATTATGTTTTGTATCGCTTAAAATGTTGATCGAAACGTGAAATACATTTATATTTCTAATATAATGGCCATTTTAAGTGCATTTGGAAGAATTTTCACTAAATACGTGTATATTTCATATGAGATTTTATGGTGACAACTACTTTTTTTTAAATCTCCAACTCTATCTCCTCTCTATTTCCTCGTCTCTTTTTATTCCTAGGTTTTTGGACATCGGATTGGGAGGAGGAGAGGCGGGGGATGGATGTGCCCCTGTACCCTTGAGGATACGCCACTTGTGTATTTGTACCATTACATGTCCTCATATCGATATCAAGACTGTATCCATCATTGCACGAACAGATGTAGCTGCTTTCAGTGTTAGAGCATTCTTGACTGCAGTCACGGACGACAACACATTCATCTATATCTGAAAGAATACAAATGGAGAAAAAAAAATAGTCGCGGTAAATCGACGGAACATAAGGACAAGGATTTTACACATTTCTCACATCTCTGCTACTTTCATTTACAGCTTCAAAAGTATACACTTAGAAATATCTATATGCTGTTACTAATTAATTTGCTGAACGGCTAAATGATAAGTCACAGTTTTGTTTACATAATTCTCAGTTTTCTGTAACTTCAATTTGCATGCAGGGTGAATATATTCACGGTAAAACCTAGGTATACTCACAATGCTGTCACTAATCAAACACATAAAAACTTAAGTGCTGCATTGGATACAAGGTCAGAGGAAAAAAACCCAATAATAAACAACTCTGAAACTCTGAAGTTGTAATCACTATACCTAGGGAATTTCCAGTTGGCTGAATCGACAACGTTTCTGTGATGTAGTGCCGGACATTACTATCCCTTTCGTTCCAACACACAAAATGACCATTAAAAAAAAAATCTTGAAAATGTATGACTCTGGAGGGTCTAATATTTGTTAGAGTACCTAGGATAATGTGCTATCCATAAGATATATTATTACTGCCCCAAGGGAGAAAGCATTTGGGAGACAAACAGAAATTAATGATATATCTGTACACAATAAACAGGGAAGTGTGACTGTTTAACAATCCACCGACAAAATTTCCAATTTCAGATTTGCCTCAATATAGTGATATCATATTCCAGACAGTCAAAACTCTTTTATTATTGGTCCTTTTGATTTCAAATCAACCTGTCGCCATTCAGTTTGTCTTTTTATTTCTGTCATTATACAAATGCATTAATTACAAGGGGTATATTCCCCTTAATAAGCTTAGCTCCTTAACCAATATTATCAATATGGATCAATCGTCCCAACTATAAAATATTTACATATTTTGAACAACCGAAATCACGCTTTTAAACATGAACTTCATAAGACTAATACCTTGACACGATGTTCCATCTGGCTGAATATGATAGCCTTCATAACAGACACAGCTGTATCCCATACCCATATCTTCATCGATGCATATCTGACTACAGTTATGACCCAGGACACATTCATTCACATCTACAGAACAAGGGGAAGAACAAGAAGAACAAGAAAAGAGAAAGGAGAAGAATAATAAGAAAAGCAGAGGAGGAAAGAAATAAAATATAGAGGAGAAGAAGAGGAAGAATAGGGAGAAGAAGAAGAAAAAGAACAATGTGAGGAAGAAGAAGGAAAAAGGAATATGCGGAAGAAGAAGCAGATGAAGAAGAAGAAGAGGAGGAGAGAAGAAGAAGATGAAAGATGGAGAAGAAGAGAAGGGAAAAGAAAAAGAAGAAGAAAAGGAAGAAGAAGAGGAAGAGGAGGAAGAGGAAGAAGAAAAGAAGAGAAAAAAGAGAAAGGAGAAGAGGAGGAAGAAGAAGAAAAAGAAGAGGAAGAGGTTATTAGGCAAAATCAATTTTAACAAAAGAAATGAAACATGCTTTCAAGGCTCTCTCTAGTATTGGGGTAGCCTATTATGGCATTCGAGGAACGACTTTGGAGTGGTTCAAAAATTACCTTACCAACAGAACCCAGGTGTAGTAAATAAGTTGAAATATTATGTCTTAAAAATATTATATTCAACTCTGTTACTACCTTACCTAAATTAAAGGATGCTAGCGTGGGAAAACTATTCCAAAACAAAAATTAATTTGATTTTTCGTAATCCAAAAAAGAGCAATAGGAATAATAAATTTGGCAGACTTCCAGGAACACACTAACGTTTATTTCTTTCAAATCGTTTTCTGAAAGTATCTGATTCATACCTTATTTCCTCGGAATTTTCATCTATCAGCTAAGTAAGGGTGATTTGCTCAATATATTCCAGTTTTTGTTTTAAATTCTTAAATCTAATATTATTTGTGTGACCTCTCTAGTCCTTTTTCTTCAATGCTTATTTTAATTGTTAATTAATGGTGCCTGTTCCGGTTTTTTAATGTATAAAAACAAATTACTTTGTGCTATGCTAACTAAATTGCTAGGGTGACTACACATTTTGAATACGCATTTTAACTGGGTGACTCTGGAACTTGATGCTAATGCATTATTTTGTATACACATTTCCTAACTCCATCGTGTATTATATTCTTCCCTCTAAATTACGTCTTTCTCTACTGCTACGGGTTTTTTTTCATCTACAATACTCATTTTTCCAGGAACATACAAGCACTGCTGTTTTATAGGTTCCCCAAATTTTACTTAATCTATTTCATGAATTGAGAATCAATGAGACGCGCTCATTTATACTACATGTATTGTGTAATATATATATATGTCTATATTTTTTGTAAAATTTGGAACAATAAAAACCTGAAACTTGAAACTTGAATGTACGATTCATGCTTCAGCGACAAAACTTGTACACAAAACATAAACCATGTCAACATTGGACTTAAAATTATAACTAATAATTGTAACATCAACATCCAAGAGAAACTCTAACCCATGGAGAAGAAAAAAGATAGCTTTGCAGGCATAATATGTATTCACAAAACAAACGGATGTTGCTGCTAGGGGTCCGGGTATTAAGGTAGCCAATGTACGATCCATGCTCCGGCGATATTAAATTAGTCCCGCTGTCCATGTCGTACCCAGGGCAAAACTTCATCCTTAATTCAATCTTCAACTTTGGTCTTAGCATAATCGAATACATATCATAATAATAATAATAATAATAGCCTAATAGTCTACTCCAAATTGTATTAAACCGAAACGGAAATTCTTTTTGCCCAATTGATCGTGAGCCCGGCAGCCACTGAGCAGCGCCAGATCGACGTTGCTCTTTCTCTTGCTCCCATGACTTTGACGAAATAAAGCCGAAAGCAAATATAGGGTCATCGGGGTACAGAGAAGGGGTTAGGAATTAAATGCCTTGGGTAATATATAAACATGTTTGTATAAATACATCAGAAACATAGTATCAGATATTCAGAAGCAGTTTTCTCGTTTTATTCTGTTTTTTCATGAAGAGACTTCGTAAAAATTGTTTTCAAAAAGAAATGTTGCCTTTAAAGGAGTGATCAACAATTGGTCTCTTTACGAATTACTTATGAATGCTGAATTAGTATTATAAATAGTTACCTTCATCACATGTAGATCCAGTCCATCCCTTCATACACGTGCAAGAGAAGGCATCTTGAAGATTATGACAAATCCCTTCATGGTGACACGGTCTTACGTAACACTCGTTAAAATCTATCAACGGTAAGAACAATCAAAATACATTTGTAGTTTAATTAAAAGTTGGAATTTAGTGAGATGAAAGATATTGCTATAGAAGTCATGATCCCTCACTACACATTGTACGATATCATTGTTACGCTTAAGAGTACTTCGCGTTATTTTTTTTCAGTATTTCTAGTATTTCCCAGTAGGGCCTATTTCCCGGCATTTCCCAGTATTTCCCGGGATTTCTCAGTATTTCCCGGTATTTCTAGTATTTCCCAGTAGGGCCTATTTCCCGGCATTTCCCAGTATTTCCCGGGATTTCTCGGTATATCCCGGTATTTCTCGGTATTTCCCAGTATTTTTCGGTATTTCCCAGTATTCCCGGGATTTCTCTGTAATACCCGGTATTTCCCTGTATTTTTCTGTATTTTTTTTTACTCTTTCCCGGTATTTTTCGGTATTTCCCAGTATATTTCCCGGTATTTCCTTGTATTTCCCGATGGTTCCTGGTATTTCCAAATGCTTCCTGATATTTCTAAGTATTTGGCACTCCGCTGGAAAATACCAGTATTTCCCGCGGGAAATTGCCATCCCTGGCGATAAAACACTTTGGTTATTGAATTAAATAATATATTTCCATTAAAACTTATGAAAAGACAAGGATGAGGATTGACTCGACTCATAGTGATATTTGATTCCAAAGAATAAGGTACTTCATTTACAAAACAATTACTACTTTAATTTCAAAGTGCATATTATTTACCTAGCTCTGATATTTTAGACTCTGCCATTTTACACCGAACAATATAATAAAACATATATCAACTGAATGAGGGCGTAATACACATTTTTACCTCTGGCATTTGTACATTTAACATTCTTACTTCGGACATTTTTACGTCGGACATTTTTGCCTGGTATAATATTAGATAGCCTTGATAATATTATGCCTTCAAAATAAATAAAAATATCGGGCCGTCTGCTTCTGCATCAAATACACACAGCTGAGAAAATGCAAACAATGGGTACGTTTGCAAGGTTGCTTGGATATGGTACAACGCAATAATATACTCATTTGACCGGTTGGTCATAAACGTTTTAGACATCGAAACATTACCGGGAATGTAAATATGCTAATTACGATCGTCGCAATCGATATCATGACTGTGAAGAGCTCCGGACCAATCACTGCATTGTGTCTGCAAAAGCTTTCTAATATAAATATGCATATATATATATATATATATAGGTACATATTATTTTAAAAGTAAATATACTTGCCTTCCTCGCACATTGTTCCTGTCCAGCCGTTCACACAGGTACAATTAAATGCATTCCGAAGATTGTGGCAAATCCCATCGTGATCACATGGATTTGAATCACATTCATTCACATCTACAAAAGAAAAAGAAAAATAATGATACCTCATTTGTTTGCTCAAGTTTATTTGTCATCAATTAAAGGCAGGTCATAATCGTGTGCATTTTATCAGTTGGTGATGCATTGTGGGACATTGCTGTAGCCACATCTGGACATTGCTTTATAGCAGTATATGGCAGTTTGCGTTAATTCGAAGTGGTGTCAGTAGGAAACCCTGCCTTCAAGTCTGTCGTCTCCTCATTGACTCAGCAACACCTCAATGTAAAAGTATATGGCGTTTTTTCCGATGTTTCATCGCTACCAACTACAATGTTCATGTATGTCTACCTGGCAATGCAATTTAGTAATTTAATGTTACCAACCTTGTTCCATACATACACTGTCGCTCATAACGTCAGAATATATTTGTTTCCCCAATTTATAGAATTATTTTGACAATGATTTATTCCTAATAGATAATAGTATACATTCTCAGATTTTATTGAATAATAATTTGCCAGTGTTTGTCTTGCGTGACTGCTAAAGCATGCTTATGCTTATATGAAGAAAAAAATCTTCTGTGTGTTCACAACATCAACATTTGTATTTTTTTTTTTTTTTTTTTTTTTTGGGGGGGGGGCAAAAATTCGTTTTGCCCCCCCCCCCCCACTTTTTTGACTGGGGGGGGGGGGGGCAACTGCCCCCCTGCCTCCCCCCCCCACCCCCCACTTACGGCGCCTATGATTAAGCGACTAGGCATATTTAAGACCTAACTTTAGACAAGTGTAATGTTTTATATCACTGGAAATGTTGATCGAAACGTGAAATACATCTAAAGTTCTGATTTATGGCCATTGAAGAATTTTACTTAACACATGAATATTTCATATGAGACTTAATGGTGACAACTATTTTGTTTAAAATCCCCAACTCTATCTACTCTCTTTCTCCTTCATTTTCTTTTCTTCCCAGGCCTTGGTCATCCGATTGGGAAGAGGAGGAGAGGGAGAAGGGGGTGGATATGCCCATGTACGATTGGGGATACGCAACGTGTGTATATGTACCATTACATGTCCTCATGTCGATATCAAGACTGTATCCATCATTGCACGAACAGATGTAGCTGCCTTCAGTGTTAGAGCATCCTTGACTGCAGTCACGGACAACAACACATTCATCTATGTCTGAAAGAACACAAATGAAGAAAAAAAGAGTTGCCGTTAATCCACGGAATACAAGGACAAAGTTTTTACACATTTCTCACATCTCTGCTATTTTCATTTAAAGGTTCAAAAGTATACACTTAGAATTATCCATATGCTGTTTCTATTTAATTTGCTGAACGGCTAAATACTAAGTCACAGTTTTTTTTACATAATTCTCTTTTTTTTTGTAACCTCAATATGCATGCAGGTTTAATATATTTACGGTAAAACCTGGGGATACTCACAATGCTGTCACTAATCAAACAAATAAAAACATAAGTGCTGCATTGGATACAAGGTTACAGGAATAATAAAAAAACAATTTAACAACTCTGAAACTCTAAAGTTGTAATCACTATAACTTAGGAAATTCCAATTGGCTGAAACGGCAACGTTTCTATGATGTAGTGCCGGGCATTACTATCCAATTCGTTCCATCACACAAAATGACTAAAATTTCTTTCTTTTTTTTCTCAAAATGTATGACTTTAGAGGGTCTATTATTTTTAGAGTACCTAGGATAATGTGCTATCCATAATATATATTAGTACTGCCTCAAGGGGTAAAGCATTTGGGAGACAAACAGAAATTAATGACACATTCGTAAACAACAAACAGGGAAGTGTGACTGTTTCACTATCAACCGACAAAATTTCACAATTCAGATTTGCCTAGATATAGTGATATCATATTCCAGGCAGTCAAAACTCTTTTATATTTGGTCCTATCTATTTCAAACTTTCGCCATTCAGTTTGTCTTTTTTATTTCTGCCTTTATACAAATGCATTAATTACAAGGTGATGATTCCCCTTAATGAGCTTAGTTCCTTTAGCTAATTTTATCAATATGGATGAATCCTCCCAAGTATGAAATATTTACATATGTTGAACAACCGAAATCGGGCTTTTAAACATCAACTTCATAAGACTAATACCTTGACACGATGTTCCATCTGGCTGAAGTTGATAGCCTTCATAACAGACACAGCTATATCCCATACCCATATCTTCATTGATGCATCTCTGACTACAGTTATGACGCAAGGCACATTCATCCACATCTACGGAACAATGGGAAGAACAAGAAGAACAAGAAAAGAGAAAGAAGAAGAATAATAAGAAAAGAAGAGAAAGAAAGAAATGAAAGATGGAGGAGAAGAAGAAGAAGAGAAAGAATGAGATAAAAAGAAGAACAAGAAGAAAAAGGACAAGAAGAGGAAGGAAAAGAAGAAGATGAGGAAGAAGAAGGGAAGAGAAGAAGAAGAAAAAAGAAGAGAAAGAATATGTAGAATAAAAGAAAGAAGAAAGAAAAGAAGTAGAAGAAAGAAGAAGATGCAAGATGGAGAATAAGAGAAGGAAAAAGAAGAAGAAGAGGAAGAAGAAGAAGAGGAAGAAGAGGAAGAGGAAGAAAAAAGAAGTACCACAAGGTTCTCTTTTGGTATATATATATATAAATGACTTCATAAATTCATCCACGGTTCTTTCGTTCCTACACTTTGCAGACGACTCAAGCATTTTCTGCTCACATCCCAATCCCAGAATTCTTCTTGATTCCCTGAATTTTGAATTGCTTTTGGTAGTTGAATGGATACAAGCAAACAAATTGTCCCTAAATTTGAATAAAACTAATTTTATGATTTTCAGCAATACACTATCTGAGCTACCAGGACAAGTTTTGGTTAATGGCTTACCTTTAACCCAGATAATCTCCACTAAATTTATTGGCCTTTTTATTGACTGCAAACTAACATTGAATACTCAAATTGATCATTTATGCAAACTGTTGTCTGGGAACGTAGGTGTAATAGATAAGTTGAAATATTATGTCTCAAAAATATTATATTCAACTCTGTTACTACCTTATCTAAATTACGGGGTGCTAGCGTGGGGAAATTGTTCCAAAACAAAAATCAATTCGATTTTCATAATCCAAAAGAAGAGCAATATGAATAATAAATCTGGCAGACTTCCAGGAACACAGTAACGTTTTATTTCTTGCAAATCGTTTTCTGAAAGTATCTGATTTATTCAATTATTTCCTCGGAATGTTCATCTATCAGCTAAATAAGGATGATTTGCGCAATATATTTGATTTTTTTTTTAATTCTTAAATCTAATATCATTTGTTTGCCCTCTCCAGTCCTGTTTTTTCAATGCTAATTTCAATGTTAATTGTTAATTAATGATGCCTGTTCCAGTTTTTTAATAAATAAAAACAAATTACTTTGTGCTATGCTAACTAAATTGCTCGGGTGACTACGCATTTTGACTACGCATTTTAACCCGGTGTTTCTGGATATTGGTGTTAATGGATTACAAATGTTCTTATTCCGTTGTGTTTTAAATTCTCCACTCTAAATTACGTCTTTCTCTACTGCTACGGTTTTTTCATCTACAATATTTTTTTTTCCAGGAACATATCATATACAAGCAATGCTTTTTTATAGGTTCCTCACATTCTACTTAATCTATTTTATGAATTGAAAATCAATGAGAAGTGCTCATTGATACTACATGCATTGTATAACTGTTGTTTTATATTTATGTCTATATATTTTTTTTAATTTGGAACAATAAAAACTTGAAAGTTGAAACTTGAATGTACGATTCATGTTTCAGGAACAAAACTTGTACACATGACAAAACATAAACCATGTCAACATTGAATTCAAAATTATAAATAATAATCGTAACATCAACATCCAAGTGAAACTCTAACCCAGGGAGAAGAAGAAGATAGCTTTGCAGGCATAATATGTATTCACAAAACAAACGGATGTTGCTGCTAGGGGTCCGGGTATTAAGGTAGCCAATGTACGATCCATGCTCCGGCGATATTAAATTAGTCCCGCTGTCCATGTCGTACCCAGGGCAAAACTTCATCCTTAATTCAATCTTCAACTTTGGTCTTAGCATAATCGAATACATATCATAATAATAATAATAATAATAGCCTAATAGTCCACTCCAAATTGTATTAAACCGAAACGGAAATTCTTTTTGCCCAATTGATCGTGAGCCCGGCAGGCACTGAGCAGCGCCAGATCGACGTTGCTCTTTCTCTTGCTCCCATGACTTTGACAAAATAAAGCCGGAAGCAAATATAGGGTCATCGGGGTACCATCAATAAAGGGGGTTAGGAGTTAAATGCATTGGGTAATTCCTTGTATAAATACATCATAAACATAAAGTATCAGTTACTCAGAAGCTGTTTTGGGGTTTTATTCTGTTTTTTTTATGAAGAAATGATGCCTTTAAAGGAGTAATCAATCGGCGTCTATATTAGAATTACATTTAAATGCAGAATTAGTTTGATGAATAGTTACCTTCTTCACATGTAGGTCCAGTCCATCCCTTCATACACGTGCAAGAGAAGGCAGCTTGAAGATTATGACAAATCCCTTCATTGTGACACGGTCTTACGTAACACTCGTTAAAATCTATCAACGGTAAGGAAAATCAAAATACATATGGAGTCTAATTGAAAGTTGGAATTTAGTGAGATGAAAGATATTGGTATCGATGCCATGGTCCCTTACTACACGATGTACAATATCGTTGGCACGCATACAAGTATTTCGCGCTATTTTTTCAGTATTTCTAGTATTTCCCAGTAGGGCCTTTTTCCCCGGCATTTCCCAGTATTTCCCGGGATTTCTCGGTATTTCCCAGTATTTTTCGGTATTTCCCAGTATTCACGGGATTTCTCTGTAATTCCCGGTATTTCCCTGTATTTTTCTGTATTATTCACTCTTTCCCGGTATTTCCCGGTATTTCCCGGTAATTCCCAGTATTTCCTTGTATTTCCCGGTGTTTCCTGGTATTTCCAAATGTTTCCTGATATTTCTGAGTATTTGGCACTCCGCTGAGAAAATACCAGTATTTCCCGCGGGAAATTGCCATCCTTGGCGATAAAACACTTTGGTTATTGAATGAAATAATATATTTCCATTAAAACTTGTGAAAAGGCAAGGATGGGGATTGACTCGACACCGAAATATCATAGTGATATTCGATTCCAAAGAATTAGGTACTTCATTTACAAAACAATTACTACTTTAATTTCAAAGTGCATATTATTTACCTAGTTCTGATATTTTACACTTTGCCATTTTTACCTCTATCATTTTTACACTGAACAATATAATAAAACATATATCAACTGAATGAGGGCGTAATACACATTTTTGCATCTGGCATTTGTACATTTAACATTCTTACTTCGGACATTTTTACGTCGGACATTTTTGCCTGGTATTATATTAAATAGCCTTGATTATATTATGCCTTCAAAATAAAAAAAAACATATCGGGCCGTCTGCTTCTGGATCAAATACACACAGCTGAGAAAATGCAAACAATGGGTACGTTTGCAAGGTTGCTTGGATACGGTACAACGCAATAATATACTCATTTGACCGGTTGGTCATAAACCTTTTAGACATCGAAAAATTACCGGGAATGTAAATATGCTAATTACGATCGTCGCAATCGATATCATGACTGTGAAGAGCTCCGGACCAATCACTGCATTGTATCTGCAAAAGCTTTCTAATATAAATATACATATATATATATATATAAGTACATATTATTTTGCAAGTAAATATACATGCCTTCCTCGCACATTGTTCCTGTCCAGCCGTTCACACAGGTACAACTAAATGCATTCCGAAGATTGTGGCAAATCCCATCGTGATCACATGGATTTGAATCACATTCATTCACATCTACAAAAGAAAAAGAAAAATAATGATACCTCATTTGTTTGCTCAAGTTCATTTGTCATCAATTAAAGGTATCAATTTAAGGCAGGTCATAATCGCGTGCATTTATCAGTTGGTGATGCATTGTGGGACATTGCTGTCGCCACATCGGGACATTGCTTTATAGCAGTATATGGCAGTTTGCGTTAATCCGAAGTGGTGTCAGTAGGAAACCCTGCCTTCAAGTCTGTCGTCTCCTCATTGCCTCAGCAACACCTCAATGTAAAGGTATATGGCGTTTTTTCCGATGTTTCATCGCTACCAACTACAATGTTCATGTATGTCTACCTGGCAATGCAATTTAGTAATTTAATGTTACCAAACTTGTTCCATACATACACTGTCGCTCATAATGTCAGAATATTTGTTTTCCCCCAATTTATGGAATTATTTTGACAATGATTTATTCCTAATAAATAATAGTATACATTCTCAGATTTGATTGAATAATAATTTGCCAGTGTTTGTCTTGCGTGACTGCTAAAGCATGCTTATGCTTATATGAAGAAAAAAATCTTCTGTGTGCTCACAACATCAACATTTGTAAATCACTTGTTTCGAATAAGAAATACACCACCCCCCCCCCCCCCCCCATCAGTACGCCAGCGTTCAGGGGCTAATGGCTTCTAACACCTATAACAAAAAACGGACACGCTTTCCCATTCTCGCACAATATGTCCACGATATGCGCGTATCGCTATTATAAAGACCTCCACTGACAAATACGGTATAGGTGGCATGCGCAATGTTTATGAAATTGAATTCCTGTGAACTTTCCTTTTTCTTTGAATGGAATTGTATATGTGATTTAATTCAGGTTTTTATTATTGTTACGTTCTTTTGGATTAAAAATACAAACTATGTTTACTCCTTTACTGTTTGTTTGTTGTTTTGTTTTTGGAGGGGGGCAAAAATGCGTTTTGCCCCCCCCCCCCCACTTTTTTGACTGGGGGGGGGCAACTGCCCCCCCCCCCACTTCCGGCGCCTATGATTAAGCGACTAAGCATATTTAAGACCTAACTTTAGACAAGTGTAATGTTTTGTATCACTGGATATGTTGATCGAAACGTGAAATACATCTAAAGTTCTGATTTATGGCCATTGAAGAATTCTACTTAACACATGAATATTTCATATGAGACTTAATGGTGACAACTATTTTGTTTTAAATCCCCAACCCTATCTCCTCTCTTTCTCCTTCATTTTCTTTTCTTCCCAGGCCTTGGTCATCCGATTTGGAAGAGGAGGAGAGGGAGAAAGGGGATGGCTATGCCCATGTACGCTTGGGGATACGCAACGTGTGTATATGTACCTTTACATGTCCTCATGTCGATATCAAGACTGTATCCATCATTGCACGAACAGATGTAGCTGCCTTCAGTGTTAGAGCATCCTTGACTGCAGTTACGGACAACAACACATTCATCTATGTCTGAAAGAACACAAATGAAGAAAAAAAAAGAGTCGCCGTTAATCGACGGAAAACAAGGACAAGGTTTTTACACATTTCTCACATCTCTGATACTTTCATTTACAGGTTCAAAAGTATACACTATGAATTATCCATATGCTGTTTCTATTTAATTTGCTGAACGGCTAAATAATAAGTCACAGTTTTTTTTACATAATTCTCATTTTTTGTAACCTCAATATGCATGCAGGTTTAATATATTTAAGGTAAAACCTGGATATACTCACAATGCTGTCACTAATCAAACAAATAAAATATATGAAATATGATGTAGTGCCGGGCATTACTATCCAATTTGTTCCATCACACAAAATGATGCCTTTAAAGGAGTGATCAATCGGCGTCTATATTAGAATTACATATAAATGCAAAATTAGTTTGATGAATAGTTACCTTCATCACATATAGATCCAGTCCATCCCTGCATACACGTGCAAGAGAAGGCATCTTGAAGATTATCACAAGTTCCTCCATTGTGACACGGTCTAACGTAACACTCGTCAAAATCTATCAACGGTAAGGACAATCAAAATACATATAATAAATAATACTGATAGTGGGTTCTTGTATAGCGCTCATGTCAGTCAGATTTGACCCTCCTGGCGCTCCCGATTATTACCCTGGCTTGAGCACGGCTGCCATACGTCGCTCTAGCATTTCAAGGAATAAATTCCTACCAGGTACCCAGTTACTTCACCTGGGTGGAGTGTGGCAAATGTTGATCAATGTCTTGCCAAAGGACATTAGTGCGGCGGTGGGACTCGAACCGCGGACCTTGTGATCGACAGTCCGGCGACGTATCCACTCGACCACAGCACCTCACATATGGAGTCTAATTGAAAGTTGGAATTTAGTGAGATGAAAGATATTGGTATCGATGCCATGATCCCTGGACCCCATGGAAGACCAGCAGTGTCGTGCCTGGCACAGCTGAATATGGGCTATCCAGCCGTTTTATTTACACTATGTATATACTTGTATTATATGTTTGTTTTTAAAACGGAAAATAAATACTATACGACTATACTATACTATCCCTTACTACACGATGTACAATATCGTTGGCACGCATACAAGTATTTCGCGCTATTTTTTCAGTATTTCTAGTATTTCCCAGTAGGGCCTTTTTCCCGGCATTTCCCAGTATTTCCCGGGATTTCTCGGTATTTCCTAGTATTTCTCGGTATTTCCCAGTATTCCCGGGATTTCTCTGTAATTCCCGGTATTTCCCTGTATTTTTCTGTATTATTCACTCTTTCCCGGTATTTCCCGGCATTTCCCGGTAATTCCCAGTATTTCCTTGTATTTCCCGGTGTTTCCTGGTATTTCCAAGTGTTTCCTGATATTTCTAAGTATTTTGGCACTCCGCTGGGAAAATACCAGTATTTCCCGCGGGAAATTGCCATCCTTGGCGATAAAACACTTTGGTTATTGAATTAAATAATATATTTCCATTAAAACTTGTGAAAAGGCAAGGATGGGGATTGACTCGACACTGAAATATCATAGTGATATTCGATTCAAAAGAATTAGGTACTTCATTAATTTCATAGTGCATATTATTTACCTAGTTCTGATATTTTAGACTTTGCCATTTTTACCTCTATCATTTTTACACTGAACAATATAATAAAACATATATCAACTGAATGAGGGCGTAATACACATTTTTGTCTCTGGCATTTGTACATTTAACATTCTTACTTCGGACATATTTACGTCGGACATTTTTGCCTGGTATAATATTAGATAGCCTTGATAATATTATGCCTTCAAAATAAATAAAACATATCGGGCCGTCTGCTTCTGCATCAAATACACACAGCTGAGAAAATGCAAACAATGGGTACGTTTGCAAGGTTGCTTGGATATGGTACACCGCAATAATATACTCATTTGACCGGTTGGTCATAAACCTTTTAGACATCGACAAATTACCGGGAATGTAAATATGCTAATTACGATCGTCGCAATCGATATCATGACTGTGAAGAGCTCCGGACCAATCACTGCATTGTATCTGCAAAAGCTTTCTAATATAAATATGCATATATATATATATATATATATAAGTACATATTATTTTACAAGTAAATATACTTGCCTTCCTCGCACATTGTTCCTGTCCAGCCGTTCACACAGGTACAATTAAATGCATTCCGAAGATTGTGGCAAATCCCATCGTGATCACATGGATTTGAATCACATTCATTCACATCTACAAAAGAAAAAGAAAAATAATGATACCTCATTTGTTTGCTCAAGTTTATTTGTCATCAATTAAAGGCAGGTCATAATCGCGTGCATTTTATCAGTTGGTGATGCATTGTGGGACATTGCTGTCGCCACATCTGGACATTGCTTTATAGCAGTATATGGCAGTTTGCGTTAATCCGAAGTGGTGTCAGTAGGAAACCCTGCCTTCAAGTCTGTCGTCTCCTCATTGACTCAGCAACACCTCAATGTAAAGGTATATGGCGTTTTTTCCGATGTTTCATCGCTACCAACTACAATGTTCATGTATGTCTACCTGGCAATGCAATTTAGTAATTTAATGTTACCAACCTTGTTCCATACATACACTGTCGCTTATACAATACAATACAATACAATGAACATTTAGGGCGCCATTCCCATAAGGCTCAGAGCGCTAACATCAAATAATATTATTGGTCTTTACTACATGTAGTAATTAAAGGCTGCAATTAGATATTCCATATAAAATATCAAATTCAATTGATTAAATTAAATAATTAAACATAGAGGAGAATTCATGTAAAGAGATGAGTTTTCAGAGCCTTCTTAAAAATATCGATAGAGGCAGATTGTAACGTCAGAATATATTTTTCCCCCCAATTTATGGAATTATTTTGACAATGATTTATTCCTAATAGATAATAGTATACATTCTCAGATTTTATTGAATAATAATTTGCCAGTGTTTGTTTTGCGTGACTGCTAAAGCAGGCTTATGCTTATATGAAGAAAAAAATCTTCTGTGTGCTCATGCCTTGAGCCATAATGCATGGCCGTACAGAGGAATTTATGTTGGGGACCGGGGTAAAATTCAATGAATTATTGAAAATGTATTGCATTTTCTTAGTTTCTTTTTATTTGTGGGAACTGCCCCCTACCCTAGCCCCCGCTGCGTGCAGTCATGGTTCAGTGGCAAAGCAATGGCCTCGTAACTGTTAAGCACCAGGATCAAAACCGTGCCGATGTGCTATATTAGTGCCCTTTTGTGAGGCATTAATCCTCATTATGGTTTTTTTTTACTTAAGGGCGTAGGTCCCCTAGTTGATAAGCATATTAGCATACACGTGCTTTAGCAGTCACGCAAAACAAACACTGGCAAATTATTATTCAATAAAATCTTAGAATGTAAACTATTATCTAGATCTACTAGGAATAAATCATTGTCAAAAAAATTCCATAAATTGGGGTAAAAAAATATATATTTCAACGTTATGAGCGACAGTGTATGTATGGAACAAGTTTGGTAACATTAAAATACTAAATTGCATTGCCAGGTAGTTACATGTATGAACAAAAGACTTAGACATACATGTACGTTGTAGTTGGTAGCGATGAAACATTAGCGGAAGTATACATTTACCATACCATGAACAGTATTATATATTTATAGAGGTGTCATGGTCTAGTGCAGTGTTTGTCAACCTATATAATAGTCACGGCACCCTTTTAAGAAATAGAAAGTTTCGCGTCACCCTATAATCCCAAATTTATAACAAAAGATTCATTTTCCACCAGTCCGGTACACGCCAAGTGCCAACAAAATTGCGAGCGAGCGACCAAAAAAAACGACATTTTCAGTATGGTATAAATGTTATTTTGTAAATAAAACACACTTAGAAATGATGATATGTATTAGAGCACCTTGCTGGCAAATACATGAATACAAACAAATCATATAATCCGTCATCTCGACACACGAATATGATGATATTCGACGGGCATCTCGTTGTTAAGAAGCATCCTGTTTCTAATTATTCTGAGGGAGTGAACCGAAAGTGCGTGGTAAAAGTATATGCTGGCAACTAATTTCCTAATTATGTGGGTAATCAGGCACTTCAATGACTATATACATACCATTTCGAAATGACGCAGGCGAGCGAAGGAAAAAGACATTTAATTGTCTTTTAAAATGTTGTTCGTCATGAAAAGACATAGCGGTGTTTAATATCTTGTTTTCAAGAAATATATGTTATATCATAACGGATAAAAGTATGTATGGATCTTTCATCTAATTTCTCTTTTCACCACACCTAGAGTTGTCCCATGGTACCCCGATTTAACACGCTGGTCTAGTGGATAATTCACAGGACTGTGGATCACATCGATCGCGGTCCGAGTCCCGCCCCGGCACTAAATATGCAAGACATTAATCTGCATTTGCCACTCTCCAATCAGGTGATGTAAATGGGTACCTGGTATGAAGAAATTCCTTGAATGTCAGAGCGCCTTATTAGGGCCGCAAGGCTAATACCAGGTAATAATAGTGCATTGCTTTGGAAACATTAGTATGAAGCACTATAAATAATACCAACTAACCATCATATTTATGATTATTGTTATCATTGTTATTACTATCATCGTCATTAACATTGTTATTATTTATCTCACAAGGACATTACTTGTTTATGAACATCACCTTAAATAAAATCGAATCACATACAAAAATTGTGCTTGAGGTTTTATATGCAGAACATAACATCGAAAAGAAGAATAAAATAGTCACCAGTTTGACATCTTGTTCCCGTCCAGCCAGAATTACAGGTACAGTTGAATGCATTCTCAAGATTGGTACAAGACCCTCCGTTAAAGCAAGGGTAAGACGAGCACTCGTCAAAATCTGCATAGAAGGAAATGTCAGATCATTCTTGGTAATGTTAGGAATAGTATTGAATCAACATAAATTAGAGGTAATTGTATACATGCTAATGTAAGAGTTCATATTAGGCTCATTTAATACTTATATTTGTTACAATTACTATTTGTCTCTCTAGTCTCTTCTTTCTATACATATTCACTGCCTTCCTCCATTCATCTCCTCTACCTACCAAGTCTTCCATCTCACCTGGTATGTTCCTTTGTTTTCTTCAATTCTTTATTGATGGATACTAGGTATTTCCGCTTCTTACTTATCATTGGTTCTCTTCTCTCTTTCCTTTTGGATATTCAGTCTTACTCCTAAATCCTATTTTGCCATTTGTTTAAGATGTTTTTCATTTGAATATACTTTGCTTAAAAATACTAAGTATGATGAAACATGGCAGCCTACTATAAAAGACAGACAGACCTGCACTGGACATCTTCTGAGTCAGTCGTATTGACTTGGGGCTCTGCTACATTTATGTTGGAGATTAAGGAGAGAGGATTTAAGTGAGTTTGGCGGTGGTTTTTGGATGATTGATGTTTTAAAGATATATCCGTGAGAGGTTATTTGATTTGTTTACACTACAAACAATGTATGCATATTTTTATAACAAGATAGATACTTAACATATATTTTTTAAAGCAAAGATTTCACATGATACAAAATAAGACAAAGATCATGACTTATAGAGTGAGGAAAGATGTCATTAGATGAAGAGAGAAAAAGATAGAGAGAGAGAGAAATCTTTGACCAATAAAAAATGAAAATAGAATACACGAGCTTAAGAAAGCTAGTGCTAATGGGCTGTATAATACTGTGCTGTTTATTCAGTGTTATACAGCATAATAATATAATTTGATTAGATTTATTTCTCTTCTCTTCTGTTCTTGATGTACATGTATTTCTTCGTATTTCTTTCTCTCTGTCTTTCCTTTCATTAAACAAAATTGTTCATTACTATATTTCATTATGTACTTCTTTGTTTTTCTTGTTTTCATTATGTAACTCTTTGTTTATCTTCCTATCTTTTCTTATAATTTTCCCTTTTTTAATGCTTTGTTTTTATTTTCTATCTGTTCTTATTTATTTCAATGTTCATCTTTTCTATTATTTTCTACATATCCTTATTTTGTTTATCTTTCTTTTCTCTTTTCTTATATGCACTTCTTTGATCTGTCTTAGATATTTCCTTATTTTTCTTGTTATAATTTTCTATCTTCCCTTATGTATTTCTTTCTATCATTTTCATTTTATATTGTTTAATTGTCTTACATCTTCCAGCAATTACCCGCTGGTCTTACGAGTTGGCTTCAATGTGAGGATAAAGAGATTCTCGCTTGTTAATTCTTGATATATCTATCCCACTCATAGGAGCATTATTATACGATAACATTACACGGAAGTCAGTACATGGGACTATTCATAAAGTGGATTCATAATTACAAAAAAGGATGCTTGAAATCGCTTATCACTGACACTATTAGTAACAGAAAAAAATAGGAAAATTCCTGAAGATGTGAGTACTATCAAAAAAGGTACTTACATTGATTAATTTTACTTACAAAATAAAGTGAAAAAAGGGTTTGCTTGCAATGACAAAGCTGCTTATTGGGACAGTGTGAGACATGCCACTTAAAACACAGACATCAATGCATGCATATCGTTCTAATACGATTGCAGTTCTAGTCGTTACTCCAT